ATGCCACTGCCAGTGCATGTGGTGGTGATAGTACTGTGTAGTTTTTGCCTACGTTAATTAGTTACAGGTGGCATCTCTCTATTTCATCCTGTAGGCTTGCGTAGGTAAATGGATGAGTGCTTACCTATTCTGTCTAGCAAATAGTTGTTGCTACTACGTACGATGGGAGCTTCCATCTTTAATCTTAAGACACTTAAACGTACACGCCATCTCGTGGCAACTTTCATAACGATCCCAACGAACATTTCTTCGAGAAGGTTCCTGATACCATCCCTGTGCCTTCCACTGTTTCGGCGCGTATGTGAACACATTTGGGACTAACAGGGTTTACTAGAATCCCACCACTCCACCACAGAGTCACCGCAGTAGACGTGAGATGAGCGCTGTCGCTCCGCGGCACTTGTTATTTATAGTATAGATTATATTTACAACAATATAATTAATTTTTGTCTATTGACACTATAATTGGAAGAATCTGTGATATTTTGATGAGAGCAGAGTCTACCTCTGTCGATTTGTAAACAATTGTACTGCACTGTAATAGTGCAAATAAAATAACTATTCAATCTATTCAGTCTTTGATTTATTCAAATCACACATCATTCATCTATTTCATATATTTTATCAAATTTTCCATTAAATGACGGTCCGATTTTTATTATGTTTGGAACTTTTTATGTTTGCAACTTATAGTGAAAACGCCTAAGACCGCACGGAAACGGAGCCACGGCGAAATCAAAAGCTTCGCTCTCGCCCCCCTATCCGTACCACCCCCCATCTAAGTCGCGAGTTCCTCCCATGTCCCAAATGTCTGCCCTCTGTGCCCCCGCTAAAATTCCGGACTGTTTGCTGGCAGCTATGGATCCGTGCGCCGACCTATGCATTCGGCGCACGGGATCCATAGCTGCCAGCAGCGCTGTATACTTTCGTAGGAAGTTCCCGCTGTGGCGTGCGCCTTGCTGCGGAACTGCGCGCAAGATCCACGCTCAGCGGTTAGGATCAACACCTCCTTTCGGCAACACTTCTCTGGTATCCCGTCTCATCTGGATTCTAACAATTACACTACTATCAGCACTAACTATTGAAATATACAAATTTGTAGTTTTAACCGGTCATGCAATGGTGCGTACATTCTCATCTTGTAGTGTAAATCGTTTGATATTATTAAGTAAGTGTTCAGCTAGAGCCAAATTAAGTTAGAAGGTTTACTCATACTAGGAGTCACCGACTCACCAATATAATTGACCTTTCTACTATTATATTTTGAATAATGGCATATTTCCTTATGGTAGGTCCTAGAGAGCTTGATTTCAGCATGCTAAAGAAAGCAGGCTTTAGGATTGCATTTCGTTTTTATGCTGCTTCTACCTGTAGATGGCGCCATGAAAATGTTTGGAGTTGTGAATGTAAAGCCTCGCTTTCGCGCGGAAGAGGAGCGCTACGGTAGCATTCACTTCTGTGACTGATCAGGATGAAAAGCCTGTGGAAATAACCCCTTGATCGTTTCAAATGTTCAGTGGAATGGTCGAGATATCAATAGACACCTTCTCATTGATGTGCATCGGTTAATAGTGTGTGATCCTACCGTGCATACCTTGTACCAGCGGGTAAAACCAATGTGACAACAAGCTGGAGGCGACAGGAGCGACAGTGAATATGGCGGCCTACGACCTGGATAGCATTAGAGCTAGCGCGGAGATGGAGCCGCCACAAGATTTGGAGCATGGACATGGACATTTCTTCACTAAAAAGACTTTTCACAAGCCAACATATTGTCACCACTGCACAGATCTTCTGTGGGGCCTCATCGGACAGGGATACATCTGTGAAGGTAGGCGCGTTCGTTTGCATCAGTTGTCGATCATTTTTTCAAGCATTTACCCAATTTTTTCAATAATATAGCTGTGTAACAAGGTTATGATGGGTATTGTGTATGCTACCCTCACCGGCAGAACCAAGAATCGGATTCATTTTTGGAAGAAAATTATGCATTTGTACTGTACTCTCTAGTTCAGTCATATCACATAGTACACGCACTAGTAGTAGTACTAGTAATAATATTACTATTAGTATTATTAGTTGTAATTTGTATACATTTGAACTCTTACTCACTGTGAAAGATGCAGTGGATCTTTGTAACAGTCACTAACAGGCGTGGAAGAAGTGCCAAAAACAGAAGTCACAAATAATTAAAATCATGCGAGAATTGATGATTTATTAGGTATATTAATAATAATATATTTTTCACCTAGATGCTAGTTTGATTTTGATATTGGTTTCCATTCGCTCCCAGTATTCATGGCAGAAATATAACCATTTACACTTATATAATACCTATTATTAGGTGTATGTGGTAGGAGATTTCCGTGCATACATGTGTCCAAAAATATGTATAGAGAGGCTAACTACTATATTATTTCGATGGTATATGTAATGCTTGTGTGATAATGTGTATGCTCCCCCTCCTCTTCATGATAAATGATTGACCCACCATTGCAATGCTAGACTTAGCTCTAACTAGTACTATAGCCCGCGTACAGTTGTCGCAGGCCTGCGGCAACTGTACGTGGGCTATAGTACTAGAGCTATGCTAGACTATGCTCTGCAACCCAGGGTCTGCCACAATAACTGAAATTAGTTCAAAGTACTTGCACAAAGTGTCTGATCTTTAGGTGGTTTAACATACTTAGACAATTCATTTTGCGCAGTAACTGTTGTACCCTTTATTAACGTGAGGTTTGAGCGAAAAAGTAATTCTTACATTATTTTGTCGTCAAGTAGATATACCAAATGAAGCATTTCGTAGTTATGTGAGCTGTAAATATTAGTGGCCAAGCAAAATGGCAAAGCAAAATATGTAAGTACTACGTTTTTCTGTGCACAATTGTTACTCTGTGATAAGTGACAATGAGTTGAGTAACTATGCTTTTCTAGAACCGCACATAAAAATCGCTGCCCAAATATCAGGGCATCGGAATATCCAATACTTGTTCTACGGTCTGACACGTACGAATTAGTTTTGTGTGTCAGCTTCATTGCAGTGGTATAGGATCTGTATTTTCCTTCATGCACGGTGACACCCATGTTTTAACGAAAGGTGTGGAATGTACAGATGTCAGATGTGCTTTCGAATTTTATATGGTGGTATAACAGGTATGTATCATAGATGAATTATGAATATTTTAATTTGAGTATATGTAAATTCATGAGGGAGTCGTACTCTGACCATGTTAAGAAATCCCTGATGAAATGGTACGTAACTGAACATTCATAATTTACACCACTTACACTTGTGCTATGTGCAAATGTTAATGGAAATTTTTTGCTTGTCTCACTTGGAAGTTCAGCTTTGCCTTTTGCCATTAGTACCCACGATACTGCCTGGGTTTCACATAAACTCTTCTTTTGCTTTATTATAACAAGAATACATCACTTGCGAACTATATAATATTTAATCGCTCAAGAAAACACATAACTACATGCTTGCAGCACTGTACTCTGACAGTTTAGATCGGGGTGGTACTACTTTGTTAGGTGCATAGGTAGGTTAATCATAATTCAACTGCCTGGTAAGGAAATGTTGAACACTGTGGTTGCTATTGAAGGAGCCAAGTATAGGTTCACACATGCGTGCACCCCCCCCCCACAGGTAAGGGTCGAGATTGTCTATGTGAATTTTGACTCTACTTTGTTGAGTAAATAAAGTGGGTGCCTGCTGTAGTATAAAAATGAAATGAAACTATCTTTCATATTTTGCCATAACTGAAATTTTGGAAAAAACGGCTCAGGTACAACTACACGTAACAAACAGGTGATCAAGTCAATAAATTCAGATATATGAACATTGTGTTACAGCTACATGCTGCATAAGATTTGTGTGTATATATTTGCAAATATATAATGAATTATACTAATGGTAAATATAATGTAACGTAATATAACATATATATATATAGTTAACTATATAGGTGTAACTATATATATACACATATATATACATAACATAGATATAATTGTAATGATATGTAACAGTGTATGCATGTTAGTATAACATATAGTCTCATACAATGTGTTCAGAATAGCTTAAAGAATGCACCAAATTGCACCATTTTTTCAAAATGTTGCTTGGCCGGCACCTGCACTGCTCGCTTTGCTACGACCTCGAAACGCGCAAACACATAACGAAAAACATTTTCCACCTCACAGACCTTTTTGGCCAGGGGAAACAATGCATGATACAGATATATAATTTTTACTAATTATTAAGTTGCATTGGTACTTTACTGGTTGCAATGGGATATTACTGTACCTTGTGAAAGCTGATGAGTATAATTTGTAGGGTAGGATGATGGTCTCACGCGAATGTTATACAGGTTTTAATGTAGCCTTGTAGTGTTCCAAGGGCCAAAATTAAAGCAGAAAGCAAACCATAAAAGATATTATATATAATATAGTTAGTACATACATCTATATATTACAAATATATATACGTGACCCCAAATCCAAAAACATTAATTGTCCCGCTTTCAGTGGTCTGAATCATATTCTACGGTATTGTACAGCAGATATCGTGATAATTCATCATGCCGGCAGTCACACCAACTTGACTCTTTCTGCAGATCTGCTTATTTTCCTGCTCACTGTCTATTTATAAGGCAGACGTTGGAATCCAAAAGATAATTTTTCACGTGGATCTGCAGGCCCAATGAATAGCTGTCGGTGTGTAGCAGCAGCACTTCACTGACTGTTTGGTAAATTCTCATCAGATCCCAGCTTTCTATGGTTACACTGCAGCACGGTTAGCTATCTCCTGCTACAGGGGTTCTACATGTTTCACTCTCAGTAGTTGGATCACATTTACATCTATAGTGCCCATTTATCTACCAGAGTGTAAAGGCCACTGGTCACTGAGTATACTGTGCTTGCTCTATCTAATTCATAATTGATATATAATTTTGTTGCAATCAGGGAAGAGGACTTGGTCACTGGACTTGGTGTTGAGTAGTGATCCTATTATCCAGGCACAGCTCTGTGATAAATGCATCATTTACGATTCAACTTGTTGATTCATGAAGCTGCACTTGTATATATAATATATATATATATATAAATCAAGAGTTCTCTAGTTGAAAGAAAGTCGTCGTAAGTCGTTGGCATTGTCAAGGTTTTATGTGGAACAGATTTGGTCCTGACTATCGGAGCCACTCACAACCCAAATAGAGGTTACATTTTTAAAATTAAGAGTAGATATTTGCCGTATTTGCACAATGACTACCATTTTTTTCTATCAAAACTATTATTTAGTAATTCACAGAAACCTCATGTTTTTACTGGGCCGCAGGCTGATCATATCGGGCCTAAAACTCGCAAACAGGTAAATTTTGTACAAAATAAATTATCAGGGATGAGACAAAATTGCCCAGATAAAAACCTGGTTGCTATTCAGTAGTTATTTGGAAGTGTTCACTGTGTTGCATTCCTCCAGAAAATAATCTAGACGGTCATCCTTTTCCCTTTTCAACAATTGTCTAAATTTATATTATAATACAGTTGTGAAATATTTTGAATTGCATGCTGAACCATATATTTTGGCATAGTATAATATTAGTAAATATATAAGTAGTCAAGGTAGTAATTGATGTAGCTAGCGTATTGGCTGCGATGTTCATGCACTGCTATTGGCTGTGCTTGTGTTGAACTAGAATGGTACAGGTTGAGAAGTGTGAGTTTATCGAGTATCTGTGCCGGGAGGATTATAGCAGTATTGATGGCTCCAGCCTCATTACACAGGTCTTCATCTGCTGGGATGCGGATGCAGTTGTCATGGCTGTAAGGCTGTATCGCACAGCAGCAAGCTGTGTGCGTGTACGTACAGTAAACCTGCGCTTGCCACTTGCCTCTGCCTTCGCACGTTAGACTGACCCTGTGTAGAAACATTGATATTTTTTCATGCTTGAATCATGAAAGGTGTCGTGATTGTAGCTTGTAATAGATCTGTATACACACGTCAATGTAGCGTTTGTAAGTATGCAATTGAAAATAGTGAGGCGTGAATAAACATCTGAACTGCGTAGTGTGTGTGTAGCTAGGAGTTGTAGTGTATGTAGTGCATGTGATTGCCCGAGGTCAAGTGGATGTCCTGTGGATTAGCAAATAAACATTCTCACCAGCATTAGCCTGCCCACATCATTCATAGTGTTCAGTTTGTAAACACTAGTTAGCATATATATATATATATTATATATATATATAATTAGCCGGCTACAGTACACATCAGTTGAGCGCTGTCGCTCTGCGGCACTTGTTTCGTATTTACTATTGAAGTATGCTTTTTTGAGCATTTCACTTGGATAAGAACAATGTAAACATCCACGATTATGTGAAGTCATTTAAGCCTTTATAGTGTCCCTGTTTAGATGCTATGCCATGTATATTGCTCTCTGAAGTAGGTGTATGAGCCGGTCTGTTGACAGATCCACTCATTTGGAATATATTGCAACAAGTAAACACATCCAAAGCAGCAGTGGAGCCAATCGGACGTCTGGGTAGCTTCTGGTCTGTGGCCCGGTGTGTGTTTCATTCTTCATGGTGAGAAGACAGTGTAAAATTAGTTTGCACTTGATATTCGGCACTGGTACTGACCTGTATTTGCTGGTATCTTCTGTCGCACTATGGAAAGTAGTATTTTAGTTGCCTTTGAGTACTGCTTGGTTACATGCATTCTATGAAAATCAGTGAAGAACATATTTCTGCATAACACTGCATTATACCTCAGAAACTGACCACAGTGGTTGATGAATATTGTTGTAGCATTCAATATATGCAGCATAC